GCACGATAGAGTTAAAAGATTTAGAACAAAAGCGTAAAAACCAAGCAAAAGAAGTAGAACTATCCTGCGAAAATCATATTCAAGCGGTTACGGACAAAATCGGCGAAGAGGTGCAAAAGTTAGCAAAGCAAATTGCAAATCTATCCTCCAAACTGTCTTCGGAACTAAAAACACTGAAAACTAAACCAGCATCTACTGAGGACTCGATCAAACACATTTTACAACAACTCAACGAGATTAAAAATCAAGTGTGTATATCTGAACAGTCACTCATCTCACAGTTACAAGAAATAAAGCCATCAAGACCCTGCATCACAAACTTTCAACGGTAATAGCGGACTCAAATGAGTACACGTACACAGTAGCTACCTCAAACAGGTATAAAACTCTAGTCGAGAGAAATCGAGAAAAATTCTATAACAGCAATAGCGTATGTTAGTAACCATGGCGACACCAATATCCTCACACGTGAAAGATAAAAATAGTACCTTCACTGCGAGCGATGAAGATATGATTTTTTAGTAAAAGGAAAAATCCTGGTATTTCATCAGTATCTATATAATAATACAATTTTACTGGTATGATATGCTTTACGCCTCGTATCATGTAAGAAACCAAAGTTAAATATATGCGGTTCTTTTCTTATTGATGCAAAGCAAATTGGAGGCGAGTTTCAAAACAAAAAAGTGTTTATTGTAACTGATTTGCAGTGCTTGTATATTCTTTCAATAATCAGACGAACACTTTGTTGTGGAATTCCTCTAATACGACAGATAATGCACTTTTGCAGTGTTTATGTTTATCTCTTCTCGTACCAGCACCTTTAAATTTGCTGGGTTTATTCTTCAGACATAGATGAGTGCAACGCTGCAAATAATAGCTGTCATGAAAACGCCTGGTGCAATAACACTCAAGGATCATTCGATTGCTTCTGTAAACCAGGGTACGATGGAGATGGACGCAATTGTACAGGTAAAATCATCTGCATGCCTTTGGTTAACGTATCCACTTTTAAGTTTTGAAAACTGTGATTAGGCAATCTTTTTTTCTTCGGGAGAACGAGAAAACATAGAGATATAGGGAGGCATGTTGGCAAGCTAAATATGTCTATTATATGAAATCATATATACTAGCCGAGGAGCCCTAAAATTTTTTCCTTGGAGCCCGGAGCCCCATCCCTTCGTTGCTTGGAGCCCTAATATCATTTTACTGTAGAGCCTGGAGCACTCAAAACGTTTGCTACGGAGCCCGTAGCCCCAAATATTAAAGTTCGGACATTCTTGCACACAGATAGCGTCATAACGTGCTTTGTTTGTTGTTTGCTGGGAATCGGAACGAAGATAGTAAAAAAAAACAGTAAACTAGACTGAGGCTAAACATCGGGTTCTCATGTTTTCTTCGTTAAATGTCCTCTGTACATGTCTGTCCAGGAGATATATTCGTAAGTCAGAAATTCAAAATCAAATGAAAACAAAGTTACTGTCTTGGACACGTTTCCTGGCTCTTCTTGATCTTCTTGTTGAAACTTCCTCCTGCTCACTCAGACTCTCCTTCATCTCCTACTTCTGCCACTAATTCTCTCTCTGTGGGCGTCATTGTATCATCCTCGTCTAATGCCAAGAGCATTGTCTTTTCATACCACTCTTCATTAACTCTTACGGTCCCCTCTTAACAACATAGGCAATGTCATACTCTAGAATTCCTTGCGATACTACACTGACGTTCTCAATACCAGAATCCGTAAAATGAAAGGGTAGAAGATCCTCTGAGAACCAGAGGCATTTGTACCTTATATTAAACGCATCCATTGATCATGATTAATAAATAACTCTTGCTAGATAACTGTGAAACACGAGTAGAGTGGAGAAAAACTTATAAAAGCAGCGTTTAAAAAATAGAAATTGCTGTATTTCCTCAATTCTAGGGTTTGCTTTTGGATTAAAGAAAAAAAGCATAGCGGAGCCTGGAGCCCTTGATCAATTTCTCGGGAGTCCTGGAGCCCTGTTTATTTTGGTCCGGAAACCCGGAGCCCCGGAGCCCCGGAGCCCCGGTATTTTGAGTCCGAAGCCCCGGAGCCCCAAACCCCTTTGGGACCCTAATATAATAAATAATTATATTATACTGGTGGCTATATTGACTACCTGTTTGTTCAGGCAGAATAGATTTAATATTTACTTTAATTATCACTCAGACTCAGACGAATGCCTGAACAACTCTCACAATTGTAGCAAAAAT